ACTCCATGAGATCGAGGGAGGGGCGGTGGGTCTGACATGTGATTCACAGACTCCAGCGCTCCCACATGGGACAACATGATCAACGGACCAGGTCAACCTCTACGACGCCAACCGCCGCCAGGTCGACTTCAAGATCGGCAACAAGGAGTACAAGCTCCGCACTGATAAGAAGCTCCCCACCTTGATTGTCCGCCCCCGTGGCTGGCATCTGGAGGAGAAGCACGTTACCGTCGACGGCGAGCCCATGTCTGGCTCTCTCTTCGACTTCGGTCTGTACTTCTTCCACAATGCCTTCCAGACCGTCAAGATGGGCTTCGGCCCTTACTTCTACCTTCCCAAGATGGAGTCTCACCTTGAGGCCCGTCTCTGGAACGATGTCTTCAACCTTGCTCAGGACTACATCGGCATGCCCAGAGGCACCATCCGCGGCACCGTCCTCATCGAGACCATCCTCGCCGCCTTTGAGATGGACGAGATCATCTACGAGCTCCGCGACCACTCTTCCGGCTTGAACTGCGGCAGGTGGGATTACATCTTCTCCGTGATCAAGAAGTTCCGTCAAAACTCCAACTTTGTCCTTCCCGATCGGTCGGCCGTCACCATGACCGTTCCCTTCATGGACGCCTACGTCAAGCTCCTCATCCAGACTTGCCACAAGCGCGGTGTCCACGCCATGGGTGGCATGGCTGCCCAGATTCCCATCAAGGACGACCCCAAGGCCAACGAGGTGGCTATGGAGGGTGTCAGAGCGGACAAGCTCCGCGAGGTCAAGGCCGGCCACGACGGCACCTGGGTTGCTCACCCTGCGCTGGCGGGCATCGCGGTGGACATCTTCAACAAGCACATGCCCACTCCCAACCAGCTGTTTGTCAGACGGGAGGATGTCACGATTGGTCAGAATGACTTGTTGAACATGAACGTGCCTGGTCAGATTACCGAGGCGGGTATCAGGAAGAACCTGAACATTGGCCTGGGCTACATGGAGGCTTGGATTAGGGGTGTTGGGTGTGTTCCTATTAACTACTTGATGTGAGTATTTCTCCGCTGCATACCATGACGAAGAGACACGATGCTGACGATGAAAACAGGGAGGACGCCGCCACAGCCGAGGTTTCCCGTTCCCAGCTCTGGCAGTGGGTGCGCCACGGCGTCACCACCGCCGAGGGCAAGAAGGTCGACAAGCAGTACGCCCTCAAGCTCCTCAAGGAGCAGACCCAGGAGCTCGCCAGCAAGGCTCCTCAGGGCAACAAGTATGGTCTTGCGGCCCAGTACTTTTCCGGTCAGGTCACCGGTGAGGACTATGCTGATTTCTTGACGAGCCTGCTGTACAATGAGATCACCTCTGCTGGTCCGGCGAGAGCGGCTGCTAAGTTGTAAGTGGAGAAGGGGGGTGATGGGGGGAGAAGTTAATGATGATGTGGTGGTGAGCGAAGAGAAGCAAGACTGTAAACTTTGTGCATTTGAGGCGTTGCGTTTGAAATTTTTTTTTTATTTTTTTTGGTTTTATAGGAGATGCAAATCTGAATTGGATATTATGAGATCTTACCTACCTTAAGAGGGATGGCTTGGTGTATTGATGGTGAAGTGCTTGGGCCATTGAAAGCCCGGTCACCCACCGTCTGGTTCATGGTGTCTCTTGAAGTTAAGTTGCCTCGAGTGCAGTTGGTGTAGAGCAATCAGTCTATCTGTCAGCATGCTGCCTCCTCAATCTGGCTGTCCGTTGTTTAGTCTGTTTAGGGCATCCTATGGTCTACTGATCAGTTCCATCACCCATCAGTCTACCACCCATCAATCCACCACCCATCAGTCTATCCAAAGTATTTGTTATCTGTATTCCATCCCCTCTACCCAACGTGCTCAACAAGCCCCGCACCGTCCCGTCTATATGACTGCTTATTTATCTCAGCGAGAAGTCTTTTCTCGACTTCAGATCTCCACAACAACCCTGCGGAACAGACGGAATCGAGAGAAGAAGAGAGAGGGGTGACCAGGGCTGTGGGCACGTACCGTCACCGTCGTGGAGTGCTCGAAGGTGAATGGGTGGAGTAGTAGTGCTTCCCATCAGTCCCTCCTCTTCCACAGCTTTGACCCATGCGCTCACACGCATGGTTCGGTGATATATATACCTTTCCGGTCCTTTCTCTCCATCAAAGGGTCAAGGCTGGCGTGTGTCTTAGTTGGTTTGTGCCGATATAGGTAACTACCCCCTTTTCAAGGGACTTGTTCTATGTGCACCACCACCCTCCCCCCCCCTGTCATCTTTATACCACGCATCCCCCATCATATCTACAACACTCTATCCTATAAATTAAGGTTGTCGCTATAGAATCAGGTGTAGAAATAGCCTTAACGATTGCTCCGAGAGTGACCCAGGGTTAACACTCTGTGGTCTATCTTACTGCCCGACAAAAGTGAAGCCTTTGGCGTACCGAAATTGGTGGTTTTACCTTGCTGATTATCATCCAGTTGACTACCTAGTCGATTGCCCAGTCAACTACCCAGGGCTTCAATCGATAGTACTGCAATTGGAAGATCCTGATTATACTGTGATTCGTGTGGGACCTGAGATAGCTAGGTGGCTGTGGTGTCGTTGCAAGTGGTGATACGTGCATGTGGTGGTGGTGGTGGTGGTGATGGAAATCTAATGCTGAGGGCTTTGAGCCAGGTTTTATGTATATAAATATATATATATATATGTGGTCTTTGGGCCGGGGTACGTCGATATGATGGGGGGATAAGTGTACATAAGATGAGGGCTGTTTGTGTGTGATAAAGTCTCTTTTGATACCGGAACACAGAGGAACATCAATGTCTTGTTGTTGGTTTGCTGGCCGGGTGTTTGTCCGGAGGGAGCGGGCGTTTTGTCTGTGTGGGAGGGGCCCTTCCACCGGAGGTTTGTAGAGGTCGATCCTGTTCCTGGGAAGCCAATAAATCATTCTACCATTGGCTCTCGAGTTGAGAATGGGGTTCTCTTGTGACGATGTCTGAGGTGTCTTGAGGTCGGTTTGGTGGTCAACATTTGGTCCGGTCTTGTCTTCGGGGTTTGATTGATTGTGTATTGGGGCTGTTGTTTGGGATGTATGAGATGCGGATGAGGATGCGTGGGGGGAGATGAGAGAAGTAGGTTGATGGAGGGACCTGATGATCTGACTGCTCATGAAGAAGCGAATTCACTGCGCCGTTCAAGAAACATACTCGGAAGGAGGTGTCGATGTATGTGATTGTGCTGAGGCTGAGATTAGAATGAAATTACATGAGTGATAGGTCTAACTTTTTGTATTCTTGTGTGATGTCTGTGAGGCTATCTGGGGTGCGTTCCTGACACCCCCAGCATCTTGGCCGTCAAGCTGGTGTTGCTGCGGTAGCAAGAGTACCTAAGGTAGGCAGTTTCTCAGCCTCAAGGACTTCAGTTGAGAATTTGACACTTGTGAACTCTGCCGCATGAGAGCGTCCCTTGGGAGGTCTGGTTCCCACAGCCCTCCAAGACTTGACTTCAGGCTTACCTCTGGTCAAATTCCCCGTTCGTGTGTGCATGACTGGGCCTGTGCTGCCCTTCTCGTGCGATAAAGGCACACTGTCTCTCCCGTTCCCAAGTGGGGTCTGCAATCCGATGGTCCTCGTCATCACCACTATCATCGCCGTATCCAACCGAGCCTTCGCATGTCCGACATGGTTTCCCCTAACTCTCGTTCTCTCCGCAACTTACAGTCCCAAGCGGGTCGATCTGGCCCTTGATGCCTACCATGACACAATTCATCCTCGCTTCAAGTCTGTTGAGTTGACCCTCTCGTGGATCCAACCGCTATTGGACTGGGCTGGCAAGGCTCATCTGCGTAATCACGCACCAGATTACGTTTGACTTTTTATTAAAAGATTATTCTGGACAGGTGTGGCTGTTCCCGCCTTCTCCCATAAGTGGAGAATCACATACAAAGTTTGGCAACCTGGAAAGCCAGTCGATAGCACCTTGACGGAGTCGCAAAACATGGTCCTGTCTTGACGCCCGAAAACATGTATTGACCGTGTAAGGCAAAATACCTTATGTGATAGATGCTTCGTGATGGCCCCCTATCCACCATCGGCTCCATTGGCCCCTGAACGAACAACAAACCCAAGACCCGCCCCCCTTGCGTCACCGGTTCGACGAAGAGAAAACACAGACATATTCTTCTGAGACCTGAGCATAAATACCCGAAGTCAAAGGCTCGTATACACCGCCCTCCCTATCGGAGGAAAGGTCTCAAAAATGGATTACTCTACTGCTTCTCGCAGTTCTTTCTGGAAAGCTGCATATCCAAGACAATGACACCACACCTTTTTGCTTTTACCTTTGCTCGCCAAACATAAGAACATCTCAAAAGTTATATGTTGTCTGACGTCAGTAAACTCGTTCCAAATCAGCCCGGAGATTTAAACCCATTCTTCCATTTCCCGTGGTACTGCGTGTGTCTCATTGACGCAGGAACCCGAGCAGCTGAGCGATCTAATTTTCCTCCTTGAGAATTAGGGGGGGGGGGGGCCGAGGTTGGGGCTCGTGTGACGGAGACAACAAAATTGGCAAACTTTGTGGGCCTCGACGGCGGGAATTCCATGTAGCAGCGGCGAGTTGCTGGAGGCGAGAAAGGTAACACCTAGTATGGGTAGTCTGGTCCGGCGTGATCTCGGTGTCGCTCGGTGTGGTTGGGCAAGTGGGATGGTGAGGATTAAGCTTATCGTGAGATCGGCACCAGGGGCGCAGACCAAGGACCGGACCGTCGGTAGCGGATGCTTGGGTGGCAGGTCTGACGGCCTTCTTTAGCATCTCGTTTCGTTCGTATTCGCCCCAGGAGTGCTGGGTTACAGTCCAAGATGCGGCGGTTGAGATGGGTGGAGAAAGACGTCCTGTTTGGGAAGGTGTGAACAAAAAGGCAGGAATCGCTTTCATTGCTGTAATACCTACTACATAGCTACCGACTCTGTGGTATCGAGCTGCCCGCCTCACTCCAGCCGTTCCGCCTGGCCGCTCAGCCTCTCCACCTCTGGACATCGGCAGCAGTGTGCCGTTGTGGCTTCCATCTTGTATCTGCCGGCGCGGGAAGACGCGAGAGGCTGCTGTCAAAACGGCCACGATCTGATCTCTTGACAGGAGGCTAGTTCTGCAGTTCAGAGCTTGTGGCGATCAACTCCCGGTTGAGATGGTTGGCGTTGCCCGCTTGTGGCGTCCAAGCTCGAGAGATCTGGCGGAGTTGCGGCTCAACACCAGCTGTCGGGCTCCCCCTTTTTAGGGCGGAATCCGGCAGCCTGCACTGGACCAATTGTTGTATACCAACCAACGCTCCCGCAAGAGTGGGAATACGGGCACCAGTCGGGCGAGGGACAGTGCTGTATGAACTGGCTCCGTAATATCGAGGGCTGTCTCCTATCCCGGCCCTTGTTCCAGCTCTCTGTGAGCTCCCAGCTGTTCAAATTTCCCGACAGCTTGCATCAAAGTATTGGGGATCACGTCTCTTTTTGGCTGTTGTGAATTTCGGTATTTCCCAGCCTATCAAATCTCCCGCTTTTTCCACACCTCCCCGGGTTTTGCGCTGTAGTGGTGTGCGGGGTTCGCCAAATAATAGATCAGCGCGAGCATGGGGTCGCGCACGGACCGCCTTGCTGCGGTGCGAGGTCCACTTGCGGGGAGGGGCGTCGAAGGCCATCGTGGCTCTTCTTCATCTGTGTGTGTGTGTGTGTGTGTGGCTTGGGTCCTTGTCCAAGAAAGCCAGACGCCTTTCCGCAGCGGCCCTTCCCCCCCGCCTTTGTGTGCGCATTTGAGAAACCCAAGCGCCACTGTTTTTTCGAGCCTCATTCGACTTCGACGACATGCGACAGGAACTTCATACAAAAGCAATGCTGTCTTTTGCTAACGAGATCTGTCTTGATGAGCTGGGGCCGATCAAAGAATACGAGGTCGCACCCTGATTCGGCTCGACCCAACCTCCCGAGATATAAACAAGCACATGGGCTACCCGTCACTCTGGTCTCAACCGTTCCCATTGCTTGTCGCACGCCACATTTGCTATCAAAATGCGTCGAGGTCGGTCGGTCTCAGCAACTGCACATTATGTGATTGTCTCCTCGATTTTGCAGCATGGGCCTGCTGTGCCAGGGGCAGGCACATCTGATCGTCAGCGGATAGATTGTCAGCCGCGGGCAAACAGTCGAACATTCCGTGCCTTTTCGATAAGTGAGGAAAAAGGAAGACACCATTCTACACGAAACGAAACAAACCAAAGGTGTACCCCCGCCGTGGTCGGTTCGTTTCTGCTGTAACATCGCCTGGGCTGCCCCCGCAAGCAAGTGCGCCGTGTGGTCGCATTGAGCAATCCCCGAGAGGATAGACGAGCAGCACATGCAATTCATACAATATCTGTTCTGATTCTGATTCTCCAAAACCCTGCTTGACGGTGCTATATTGCACTGGGGGCACTAGACCCGCTCCAGGGTGTGCCGTTACGTACCGCAGCCGATCATCTGTGGGAAAGCTGTAGCGGACGAGGTTTTTAATGGGCACCTGGCTTGTCCTGGTTCCTCATTAGATCTCGACAAAGCATGCCATCTTCAACATCTTCAGTGTCCTCGACACAGGTGACACAAGGAGAATGCTGTGTTACATTTCTGAAAGCAAAGGAGGCCGATCACACGAGAAAATCCTAATGGCAACAGCAAAAAGAGGGTTTTGCTGGAGCCTCACTACGGTGGTTGTCTTGTCTAATAAACCACCCCCCATCAAAGAAATCTACAACGGTTGGTCACTGGAATCACAGTCTCGTCAAAAATTCCCGAATGGAGGAAAGGCTCGTCTCCGTGTTTCTCTTCATCTCCAAACCCCCGGGGCTGTTGGGGTAAACCCAAAAACCAGGTCTCCAGGAAACGGGCGCATCGCCATGTTTGATCAGGGGGAAGACGACGGTGTAGAGATGCTGACTTCAGACCGCAGCAGTATTTGATGGCGAACAACCACAGCCAAGAATGGCAAAAGAAGCATGGCGCAGGCATAGGCACAGTCAAAGTGATATAAGAACGCTGACATTTCTCGTCGCAAGGCACACACAGCAGACAAAGATTCTGTCATCTGTGGAAACCCGACCGGAATGATGAGCGGGGAAAGGCACAAGACAGCGTCCTTTTCCCCATCCCGTTCACGCAGTAGTGTACCTAGCTAGTACTGACGCATTCACGGCACGCAAAAGCCATACCCGCCAATCGCGGTACGGGTCGGGAGCGGTCAACCGACGGATTCGTTCCATCTCGGCTCGCCCAAGGTCCTTGACAGGGACTCGCTCAGAGATAAAAAAAAAACATAAAAAAAATTATATATACATACATATATACATACATATACATGCATATATACATACATATACATATGTATGTATATATGTATGTATATATGTATGTATATGTACGTATGTATGTATATGTATACATATATGTATGTATATATACATGTATATATATATGTATATACATGTACGTATATTATATAAAAAATAAAAATAAAAATGAAAATTAAAAAAAGCGCGCTGGGTGGTCTGTTCACCATGCTACGGAGCCTTTTTTCTGTGAGGTTGCTTTCCGTGCGACAATGCCATATCATAGTACAACTGAATATGATGATCCCGTGCAGGCTGCAGAGGAACTAGTGGTTCCCAATACACCCGGCGACTGGGTTTCGATGGGGAAACGCCAGGGCGGATGCATGAGGGGGGATGTCTGGTAAGTGGTATCCAAAGGCCAGCCAGCTCCTCAGCTGAAAAAAGCGATGCCTATGCAGGTCTTGGGGAAGGACACCTGCGGCAGCGCCTTCATGTGGTTGGAGAGTGGTCCGCCCAGAAAGCGCTCTGCTTTGCGTTAACATGAGCGGTCCCCCAATGCTGGGATAGGGGACCTGGTCCCCGACATTGATCACGGCGAAACATTGGTGTCTCTGTACCCGCGGAAGACATCGGGAGAAGAGAAGCCAGTTCGCCAAACCTGTTCGCTGGGCAATCCAATGTCTTTCTCAGACACACACAGGCCTGGTTCAATGCCAAGAGGTCTAGACGGGCTGGCCAGCCCACGGCCCACACTGGCCACTCACCCAGCAGGGAATTTGGCCCACAGGGAAAGCCCACGATGCTGGAAAGGGGTCTAATCCGAATCGAGACGCGAGCATCTCGTCAAAGAGGGCCGCCAAGCATGGGATAGGGAGACACCGGTGACCGGGGTGCTGGCTTGGGGACTTTGCTTTGGGGAAAATCCAAGATGTCATCCCATTGCTCCATTTTGCTCACCACCACCACCACTCACCAGCCAAGTTTTCCCAACAGGCTTTGTCAGGTCGACCGAATAGATGGGACGAACTCCGCAAAGAAGCTATCGCTTGACGTTTGGTAGGGCTAGCGGCACTTCTGGTAGAAACAGCTTGTTTTTCTTGGGGACATGCCGCTATCCTTTGCTGTCGTTCGTGGCAGACCTGAATTGGGACCCAAAGAGCGGACCACGATGCACCAGTCCACCTGTCATCCCTGGTGCGCATCAATCATGCTCTCTCTCTTTGACATGCGGCCAAGTCCACCTCCTAGGCATGTCATAATTCGGAGCGCAAGGGACCAGAGACAAAAACCGCGCAACGGCAACTCAACATCAGCTGGTCGGGAGAGGGGGGAGCTTGAGCCCATTCTGGCAGCTGGTTGAGGTGAGTGAGGGCTTCGCCAGATAGCTAGATAGCCAGTTGGACCAATTCGGACAGAGCACCCCCCCCATCCATGCACGTACAGGACATGGAAAACTTCTCTCCCTGTTCCCTCTTGTTCTCTCTCTCTCTCTCTCTCTCTCTCTCTCTCTCTCTTTCTCTCTCTCTCTCTCTTTCTCTCCCCCAGGTAAGCTGTAGCGTAGGGGGGCATGCGGCATGCATGCCGGAAGCATGGTGCACGGGTGGGGAGGGACGAAAGGTGAGCGTGGGAGAGGCACAGCCAAAAAGTGAGGGATCTGACCTCCCTGTCAACGACCGTCTCTTGGTGCTCGCCTCCCGCGCACCAGGGTTCTAGCTTGCCAAGAACCGCACATCCTGAGTGTTCGACAACGAGAAAGAACACACATATTGAACCCAGCATTACCAAGTCGAGTCCTGGTGGCTATTCTCTCTCGGCCAGGCGTGGAAGAAACAAGCTGCCATACTTGCCCTCAACCTCTGCTTCTCCCTCACGCACCCCTCGTGTTTTCCCCCAGCCCCTCAACGTGCACTTGCGCGAGTTGGTAAGAAGCAGCGTCAAAAGGTTTTGGATGTTGATGGAGCCCCGATCTTCAGGTCGGTTCGGACAGGCAAGCTATACCGCTTTTGGCTCCTCCTGCTGCGCTTGTCCACTGGGGTGTCGTTCAGCCTGGGTACAGTAGACACACGCCCAGCGTGGGTGGCCGTATTACGGCTCCCGTAATTGGGGGTGGCCGTACGATACTTACAGTACACATCCATGTGTGTCGACATCAACAAGAGTCGAGCCAGGGTCTCGGCACCAGGCTCGCAGACATTTTCCCAGCAAGCCGTGCCCTGTGCAGTCCAGTACCGCAGAGCTCTCCCAGCTGTGCATGCGGCAGGGCAGAGGGGGGGGGGGTATGTCTTTCGTTAAGAAGTCTTGAATGTACCGGCCTTCCATACACCGCTGTCTTTTCCCCAGTGCCTGAGGGGAAATACTGTTCAGAGCTGATACTCACGTCTTGAGGAGTCACGAAGGGGACCTGTTTGGGGGAGTTATTTCCTGCTTACTACACATCCATCACCGGCTTTGATATCAGCTCAACGTGGAAGCCGCAACGGAGGCAAGCCTGAGCACCGACCTCAAGCCTTGTCCCATCCCAAGCCCATGTCTGTCTACCGACGACAACAACCACCACCACCACCACCACCACCACCACCACCACTAACACCACCACAGCAACAGGACTACCAGTTATACTTACGACAACCCAGAAGGCTCTGCTACATTGTACCTCTCCTCACACCTTCCACCTGCTAGCCCACTCAGCCAACAAGCGCCACAGCCTGGCCCTGAGACATCCGAGACCGTACACACGCGCTGTGCTGTGCCCATTTCTCCGGGAGCCTGCTGCTGTCATTGCATCGCAGAGTCCACAATACGCATTTTCAAGAGCACGCCAATTTCAAGTCTGTGCGAGTCCCAGGAGAAGGGTGTGGCACACTCATCTCACCAGCACATCCCCGGTTCGTGTCCTTTCAGCCCTCCCGCGCTAGACAGGCCGGCCTGGTTCGATCCCAAATCAAAGACGCGCTTTTCCACCCCCATCTTTGAAAGTACAAAGCACGAGGGAAAGGGCACCCACACATCCGTCCCTAACACCGGCACCCACCCCGCCAGCCCGCTTCCTCTCCCGTCCCAAGTCTCCAGCCTGTCGGTATACCTCGTCCCCACTGCGTCAGGCAACGGGTCCCTGAGGAAGGACAACCACACGAGGGGAACCGCGCAAGAGTAGCAGCAACACGAGGCAGCAGTAACAGCCCAGCGCGGTTGGCTTGAGGTCGTTATTCTACCCATCTCCCAGATCCTGGACCTGGAGCTGGACCTGGCCAGATTACCGACAGGGTCCCGAACCCGAAAACCACCAATTATTGGCAGTGTTCATACCGTGTATTTCGTACGGAACGCCCCTTCAGCATCGGCACTCCACCACGCCTTGTCAACGACCTCCACACATCAAAAGCTTAAGTACAAGAGCCTTTCATCCCCAGGTCACACGCATACTCGTCTTATCAGACTTTGTGGTGTTGAAGAACTTAGTTGCGCCCCCATCAAAACCTGATCTGCGCCATGTGCTAGGGCCACCATTTTCTGGAAACCTTGCGAGCACTTGCTGTCACGTTGAACGGGTATAAAACTGATACGTGAGCCACGCCTCTCCATCCCACCGCCATCAAGCAATCGATCTTCCACCGCATCTTGTAGCCTCCAGTGGCTACCCCCTCTCCCTTGTCTGTGGCGACGGTTTCCGCCAAACCAAGGGCAGCAAAGCAGCTTGATCAGTTAAGCATGCCTCCACCACCACCACCACCACCACCACCAAGGATGTCGCATCCTGAGTCTGGCGACGAAGAGGATTCCCTGTCCCCTCCTCCGAACAATGCAGCAAGGAGAGAGGGAGCGCCAAATCTACCGTCAGTCAGTGGGATGTATTCTCACTCAGACCTATCAAGTACGCGAGACCCTAGACAGGCTTCTACAGCCATGACCCATCCAAGTGACCACAGTGATGATGGCCAAAGGGCGCTGCCGTTTTCTGAGCCGGCCCCTCGGGAGGCGTTCTCGGCGGCGTTCTCGGCGGCGCCCTCGGCCTCTTCTCCTCCCTCCTCTTCCCCTTATCCTTCTAGCCATACCAACATCACAATTGCCAGTAGAACAAGTATTCTGACTCCCACATCAGGGGCGGCAGACGGGACTAGCCCATCAGCAGGAATCAACGGCAGCAGTTCGCAGCAATCACCGGCCGGCGGTTCGTCTTTTTATGGCCACGGAAGCTGGGCTACGCCGGTGCCCCCGGGCAGCTACGGTTATTCGGGCAACAATTCCACCTCCGGGGCCTTCCAACGACCTATTCCCTTCAATTTTGCCTCCCCACTCTCACAGTATCACGGGCGAACCTCATCATCCCCAGCTAACGGCGGGGCCTTGCCGAGCGTCTCAGCATACCAAGGTCATCCGCCGTTCTCCAGTTCAGCAGGCGGCGGTGGTGGTGGCGGCAGTGGTGTGAATGGAGGCGGGGGGCTAGGAACCAACGGTGCTGGCGGAAACAACGCTGGTGTGAATGGGAGTGCTGGCTCTTTGGCTCTTTACGGTTCAAGCATGCCTTCCCACTCCCAGGAATCACCATCACCGTCGGTTCTTGCTTTGCCCGATCTCGCAGGTCAGGGCCAGGCAGCACCTCAGTCGTCGACGAATCGAGGTTCACCGCCGGTCGGGTCAGAGTACCGTTCACTTCGGCGCCTTACTACCCAACAGTGTCGTCGCCGCAGCAAGGGACGTTCCCTTATGCCTCCCAGCCCGGACCATCCCCGAACGCCACGGGTGGGCCTCTCCCTGGGAGAAACCCCCTAGGTCCTCTGATGCCAGGGATGCATTCTCCGATATATGCCGGATCCCATCGGCCTCATCACCAGCCCCCAGCCACGTATCCTCCGTATCCAAGCATGCAGGGCTCGATGATGACCAACTTGCATCAGCCAAACCAGCCCATGGTGGTGTATGGTCATGTTTCTCATCCGTATCCGATTCACAACTACGCGGGATACCACCACCCGCAACCGCCGCTGCAAGAACGTCCTTTCAAGTGTGATCAGTGTAACCATAGCTTCAACAGAAACCATGACCTCAAGAGGCATTCAAGGATACACTTGGCCGTCAAGCCTTTTCCATGTGATAACTGCGAAAGGACCTTCTCGAGGAAGGATGCACTCAAGGTATGTGTTCGACAAGTTTTTTTTTTTTGGTTGTCTATCAGCTACATGTGCTGACTTTGTTTCCAGCGGCATATGTTGGTCAAGGGATGCCTGTCCAAGGACAAAGGCAAGGGTAAGGGCAGGGACAGGGACAAGGACAAGGACAGGGACAATGCCGCGGCTCCCAGAAATGCAAACGCTCAAGGCGAGAGCCCACCTACGACTGACGGGGATTCCTCTAGCTCGACGGCTTTGAGGAAGAGGCAATAGGAATGTGTTCTTGACAGGGACATCAATCCTGACGCGTCCGGACGGTGTCGAAGACGATGGCAGATGTCGATCAAGACCAACGACTGTGCGGGTATACCTTGATGATGCTGCGGGGAAGTCAATGACAGGATTCAACAAGGAAAGCGAGGGAAGGGAAAGAAGAGGAAAGGAAAAAACGAGAAAAAAAAAGGGGGGGGAAGGGGAAAGGGGGTTTGAAGACCATGAACATAAGGAACAAGGTCTGGTCCTGTTTTGGGGGAACATGGCCGCTTCGCTTCGTCTTTGTTTATATTTTTGACTTTGCACACAACACCATCCCTTGCAAGCGCGGAGGCTGGAGCTTGGGTGCTGGAGTTTGGGTACTGGGGCCAGCTGAATTGGGAGTTCTTGGGTTTCCTACTGTCAAGATCATCACATGACCAAAGGGGGCTGGCTATTTTTTGGAGGGGGGGGCAAACTGGACAACGTTTGGCTCTGTTTTCAAGCTTGATACCCATACCCGTCTTTCCGTTTGTCTGTTTTTTTTGCTTCACTTTTGTATTGTTGGACACAAGACGGGTACACTTTTTTTCATCTCTTTTTTGCACACAGCTCCTCGTCTCCGGGGAAAGCTATTGGAGTTGGCACATTTGGGCCAGGGCAAAGGGCGCACACACCCAACGACGAGGGCAAAAGTTAGGAAGACACAAGCTCTTGTTTGGGCAGGGGTTCGGCAGGATTGGTTTTTGGTGTTATCTCTGGTTCCCCTGGGAAACAAGGGGAAAGGGTTGGGTGCTAGAGGTTCTTTCTTTGCTTGGCTGTTTTATATATCTTGAGATGTATTTGTTTTTGGGAATGGCCTTTTTTTTTTATTCTTTTTTAGTAAAAAAAATGGGAGTGGTGGATGGGTCGACTGATAGCGTTTTTGACCCAACAAGCAGCGATCGTATTCGGAATATTTTTACGAAAATCGTCACGACATTCGACCATGTCATTGCGATGGGCAGGCCGGCCAGATGAGGGAATTGACTTGGTACTGTTTGGACGGTATTGTTTTTGTTTTCAAGAGAGGGTATAATGTGAATCAAGAAAGAAACAGAAACAGAGAGAAAAAAAAACCCTCCATGGGAAAATCCCAGGCAAGCAAGATGAGCTTGACAGTGGCTCTGTCCACTAGAAAAAAAGAGCAAAGAAAAGCTTGGTCAAGAGAGGGGTTAGATTGTATATACCTGTTTTCTTTTTGGTTTTTTTTTCTCTTCTTTTTCGAAGGGCTTTCTAGGGCTTATAACCCCTCCTCTTTTTCCAATGTGGAAAGGGTGAGCGAAGGGGAGAGAGAGAGAGAGAGAGAGAGAGAGTTATTAATCCAAAAAAAATAATTAATTCTTGAGCGGGGATGGAAATTGGACGAGTGTCCACCCTCCTCCTGTTGATAATTGAATCATCTTGCGAAGTATTTTCTGACCATGTGAATACGTATTTGTGTGCTTTGGGTGACTATCATCACTTGCCATCCAGACAAACCTTTCAGCAAGGTAGGCACTGAGAAGAACAAAACCCTCCCCCACGAGGCAAGCCGCTCTCCAGCATACACACACGCACACACACACACACACACACACACACACACACACACACACACACACATACACACACACACACCAATGGCAAATCTCATTACCAAATAAGATCCCCTCAACCAACTTCAACTTCGAAACCCACCATGGATGTTGTATAACCATCCAATTCTACCCATCCCTCCCAGTCGAGTATGTGGAAGACACCCCCAGATCCGATCAAGATAACGACTTGCTCGGTCCGGAACAAAGCAGCCCGGGGCGTTCTTCGGTTCGCTGTTTGCTTGCTGTCACATTTCGGATACATACTGGTAAAGACCATGCACTTCCAACCAAACACTCCCCTCCACGCTTCAAGTGTGTGTATGAAAGCAACGCACGAAATGTCCAAACGCGGCAAGTGCCTTGCTGTCTGCATGTATGTATGTATCTCGGAAGCTTGGCAAGAGGAGACGGGATGGGTTCGATTGGTCTGATCGGTGTGTTGGCTAAGCTAACCAACACTCTCTTCCTGATCTCGATCACGGGTCATGAGGGAACACAAAAGTCGCCCCTATCTTTTCCAAGTTAGTAGTGTGTCTATTTGATTGACCCTGTCTTACGAAAGCTCAAGAGTCGGAACCCAAGGTGTAGGACAAGAGGATTAGGTACTCGCCGGTCTGACCCTCCTTCACCGGTCCAGCACACACTCATCACAGACATGGATGCCCACACTTCCCCCAACTGTCTCCTCCCGAATATCTCTTGCGCCGAGAACCACAGGAGAAGCCGGATGGGGGGGGGCCTGTTGTGGATGGGCAGAGCTGGATTGCACCATGCACACACCTTCCGTTGTGGTCCTCCTCCTATGCAAGAACGACACACTCTCACAATCGCTCTGCAATCGAATCCCTGACCCGGCCGGGCGAGGGGTCGGCGTAATTTTGGGGGTGAGCTTACCGTTTCCATATTTTCTTTCGTTCGTTTTTCTTTTTCCTCGCCGTTCACTTCATTACGCAAGAGCCTTGCCATATGTATCATCAAGCAATAAGCAGGGGGTGTTTTGGGCCTGGTTTTGACTGTGCAGTGCGGCTGAACAGCCGAATGCTTGCCAAAGACGGATTGGTTCTCGAGTTGCCTTGTTGCAATTCCCCGTCGCGGTGGGAGCTTACTGTACCCAACTGAAGCCTTCGCCTCCTGGCAGGAAGTATCGAGTGATGCGGGTACATACATATTAGCGCCTCTGTCGTGTGTGTCGAGTCAGAGAGGCGTCCGGAGTTCAACACCACTTGAGAACTGTGAGGCGCCTAGGGCAAAATGTGCCGCCCATGAACAGCAGCATGCAGGGTTTCCACCGGGCTCAAGGGTGGTAGCCATGGCGTCCTGGGCGGCTCGCGATTCAGCCTGGCCCAGATCAGGAAATAACAGGCTAGAGTAGTCAAGACATCGTCAGCTGATCTCGGCAATGAATGGTATCCGTTCTGGTGTGCAATAAAATAACATGGTCGGATGAGCGCAAAGGCTGGACAAGGTAAGGACATAACTGTTATTACTTCCCAGCTTCACGGCCGATCCATGACTCCTTCCCAGCGTTTTGGAGGCCGAAGTCGTCGGGTGACAAGTGCCGTGTACCAATCATGAATTTCCTCATGCTCTTTGCCGTCTGACAACACGGTACGACAGACTATTTGGTATTCACGCTGCCCGCCGCGTGCCTTCCCTACCTCAGCCACCCTTCTCGCCTGTGAACCGGGTTGTGAGTGAGAGGAGAGGAACGGATGCAGCCCTGACCGCCCATCCCCCAAGCCTACCCACCGATTCGGGGTCCAACATTGCAGGGTGTGGTTACCTCATGAACACAGCAGGACACCGGTCTCGTCCGGGAGAAGGGGGAGATGTAAAGGTTGTGCTTTTCGGTGGCAATGCCAAGGCTCGAGTATTGTTACGCGCCCAAAGGTATGATATCGGGGACTGGAGGTCCATAATCAAATTGCACCTTGAATCTTTAGGTAGTCCCGTAGCCTAGGGTTTAGAAAAAAGATCGAGTAAGCCACCATTGACTCAAGCCAAGAGATCCCTGTCTGCCTCCTCTTCTCCAATGCCGGGTGCTTGGAGGTGTGGCTGCGGGCAAAACGCCAGATCGACAGGAGGCTGAAGGGGGAGCTTAGCCTAACCAGATTGAGATGAAAGGTGAGGCTGAGACACTCAAACTGATATCTCTCTTTGCACGGCAGAGGCGTCATCTCGATCAAGATAAATCTGTATCTGTAAGTAAAGAGAACCCTATCACCCGTGTGTGTGCTCAGGGTCCTGGGGCTTACATCGAGTTTTTCAATATTGGCTCCATCGATCATGTATCACCAGCATTTTCTCCTCCCCGAGGCTACAATTGCTGGATACCAGGCCTTGAAGAAACACAGTAGAGAGGGCGCATCTGTGGCAGGGGACCGTCTCCTCTATATTGGTCTGTCTCGGGATTTTAAGTGCAGCTCATCAGGCATGAGGATGAGGAGCGCCTTCCAAAGGGTCTTGACCCTACGGAGAAATTGGACCTGGCCATGAGACCGTCGTACGTGAGTTGTCTGACACAATTTCGGAGAAAGATGAGCCAGACGGTGTTCATCTGGCATTCGAACTCGCATTCATACTTGATAGTACTATCCAGGTCCGGCTTGGCCTCCAGGGCTGCGTTGAATGCGGTAGCACCAGGTGGGATTTCTGATGACAAAAGAAAGTATCGAAAACGGCAAAGAACATCGATGTGATGGTGCTGCAGATTATGATCTTGGGCTAACCGTGTGATGCAGGGTGGGATGTCGTCAAAATAGACTCGACCGGGACCATGTCTCCGGGACAGGCTCGATGCAACTGCAGCTGTCGGCTTGTCCAACGTAATATGTCTCCGGCCGCGCGCCGGCGATGGGCGTTCAGATTTCCGGGTTTGGCGGGTAAACGGATGGTCGCTGTCGGTCGGTCCTGGAGAGACCCATTGCTGCAGCCCAGGGCCAAAGGGGGTGTGGTTTGTTGGGGGATGTCTTGAGTGATCATGTTCTCGGCCTGACCAAACGGGACCTGTTGCCTCTCTCCTCGGGGACTCGCTTGCACCTTCCCAATATTCACCAGTGCTGCAATGACTCGATCAAGTACCGAGTGGAATGACTCAAAGCATTGTGTCAACTCACAGATTTGACCAGAGGTGGAAGGAAGCTGCGACGATGTCTGGAATATGCAAGCAAGGGAGCGGAGTCTTGTCCGGTCGTAACGTTACGTCCCAAGGCAAGCACAGCCGGCAGGAGCACTTTACCTCAGCAGCCTACCACTTGCCAGATCTGGATTGATACATCACCTCGTTCAATCAGATCATCTTCTCGAATCCCATGACTGCGGTGATTAACAGAGATAACGTCCGGGGTGAGCCTAATGACCCAGTTAGGACCTTACATACCCAGGTAACCGATTTTGATGAGATACCTGGTACCTCCACATTTACCTTTGGTTTAATTTGTTGCCGAGTACTTGTTCATCCCATATCGAACTGAAATGGCACAGCATTCTCTCTTCCAGCAGATGCTCACAATGGCGCTCTGATAAAGGTGGATATCTATTCGGTAGAGCTACCGGCCTTTTCCGGGACCAAGGTCTCGTGTATCTTGAATTTTGTCTACTATTCCCCAACGTTGATGACAAGCATGATTTCGAGGGCAGTTATGAATACGGGAAGAATCTCGTTTCATTCATGAATGGTGAGATAATATTTGACTTGTTTCTTCTAAAGGTTGAATATCAAAGTTTACTTGCCGTTGGTGTCGTGGACATGGCCCCCTGGTCAACCATCTGCGCTCCCGCCCCCACATTTCAACTGACCCCTGTCACTGCATCAACCCCCACATTTGAGCATGTTTCTTCCAAATCCAGACACCCAGATCACCATGGCATTGGCATGGCGGAACATAAACCTCCCTCGCCGCTCCATGCGTGATCTTCTCTCCCATACACGTTTCATCCTCTGACAAGACAACAACTTGCTCATGGTGTTCTTCTCACTACGTATTGCAAAGGCGATAAATATATCACTCACCGCTTTCTCCGCGAGCCGTCCCGTCCTTACCATTCAATTCAAGAGAAAGAATTCACCAAGCACTATACCCCACGCGAACGGCTAAACGGATACAACAAATACTTCAGGGCAGCGCTCTCCGATCTGGTATCACAAGAATCGCGGATCTCTTCTTCATCATCTTTGCAACCTCGGGTCAGCCACATCACGCAATTGAGTCAGCAACGTGACAAGCAACAACACCCCCTGAGATTCACCACCACTTAAACTCCAATTGAGATCCTCAGAGTCTCTCGCCCATCCAACATCAACACAATGGACCCATTACTCTACGCCCGCCACGGCGCCGAATCCCACTCGGGCCACACCACCACCAACACCGCCGCCGCATCGACAAGCCCAGATGGCTCGATGGGCATGGACACGCACATGTCCATGATGGCCATCTTCCAAAACTCCATGTCCACCTCCCTGTTCTCGACGAAATGGACACCGACCAACGCCGGCGCCTACGCAGGCACATGCATCTTTCTCATTATCCTTGCCGTCATCTTCAGGGGGCTGCTAGCGTTCAAGTCATGGCAGGAGCTGAGGTGGTTGGATAAGGAGATGAACAGGCGGTATGTCGTGGTCAATGGAAAAGCGCCACTGGCAGAGAATCTCAGCAGGGATTCGCTAGGCAAGGCGGCGGTGCTGAGCGAGAACGGGGTGGAGGAGAACGTGGTTGTTGTGCAGAGGAGGACAGGGAGCCATGCGAGGCCGTGGAGGTTGAGTGTTGATCCGGTGAGGGCAGCGATTGATACCGTCGTGGCGGGCGTGGGTTATTTACTGTGAGTTATCACTATGACTAGATGTCACGGAGGGCGATGCTAACAAATCGATATAGGATGTTGGCTGTGATGTCGATGAACGTGGGGTATTTCTTGTCCGTGTTGGGAGGCACATTCTTGGGTAGTCTACTCGTGGGCAGATTTATTTCTTCTACGGAACACTAACATGGGGCATTTGGGTATGGAGTTTATGAGCGTGTTGGAATTGGTTTTTGGGTATATATTCTTCTATTTTAACTCGGATGAGAACATCAGATAAATGGCATGGCAAGGGAATGGATCCTGGCGCAGATGAAACAGCATTCCACATCTGAAGCATGGAAAAGTGCCATGGACAAGCACCAGAATCAATAACAATGCCATTGTCACGACACTTTCTGTGATGGATGTTGTACCCCCCCCCCCCCCTGGTGAGGTCTCCGCATTCGCTCCGGAATCTTGCTCAAACCTGCGCAACGCGCGCTGACAGGTTGTGCTTGCTGACGGCAGGTTTCCCACAGTTTTGGACGTAATGCCAAGGACGCTGCTATTTTTATCGAGCTTGCGACAGGTACCTTTGTACCTGTTGCGACTGCATCATGATGTTGTTGATGGCTTGAGCATGATAACTTAGCAGCCTGATAACAGAGTAGAATCGTGAGATGATTTGGACTAGACTACATTGTCACTCGGTTCCAACGTTAAACCCATGATCATCTAATAGTGCGGGCAAGAAAGAGAGGAATATTATAAATACTATTCAGGTGGTTTTTTTTTTCTTTTTTAATTTATTTATCAAAAAAGATGTCGGTGATGGTATATAGTGTGGAAATTAAGAATTGACGATGCAGTCCCACAAGTCGCAGATCGCAAGAAATGTTGCAAGGAGAGTTGCAAGCCCGAGTCCCAAAGTCAAGGGTCGCAAAGTCGACAAAACAAGAGTGGCTTGAAAGGGCTTCCAGCCCAACTTTTCCATTGTCATCTGATTCAAACAGAAAAAGCGCCGTCTGAGCTGCTCCTGGAGGTTTTCAAGAACAATGAGTTTTGCTGACAGCCGTGAAGAAATAAAAGAGAACTGCCCGTCAGGATTCACAACGAGGTATGCCTGCGTACCTCGGAGTAAGGAGAACACCCTAAACAGGGGAGATGGGATGCTAAGAGATGGATATCTACAGTGAAGTGGAGATCGGATAAACGATGAATAACTGTTTAGTTCTTGTGGGTTGAGCGAGGATGATCTGGGACAACGCCCAAAGTGCTCGGTCATTAAGAAAAAGAAAGCAGGTCCTCTGTGGGCGAGCATTGTACAACTGACATATTGGACAAAATATACTTTTCAAGCATCACACAGCCTATATAATGGTGCTCTGTTAAGTTGGTTGAGATGATGTTGTGTGGAAAGTTACGGTGGTTTGTTGAGTGCCGGCAGCTTTGTTGATCTGTGCCCTAGGGCGATTGCTACTTACTTTCTCGAGGGACTCCTTGGTGTGGTGTGCTGATGTGAGAAATAGGACGCGAAAAAGCCATATTTTGGCTTGCAGCTTGTGGTCGCCCTCACTGTATTCGTGGTTGTTGCCCTTATAGTTGCTTCGGCAGTAACATGCCGACGTCTATCTCTCACACAACTTTGGCAAGCATTCAGCCAAAGCCCCCTTTGTGGGATGCCGAGATAGGGTTGATACCCTGGTAAAATATCACCATCCAACATGTGCAAAAATAGATCTCCAATCGACAGTGTCCCGGTCCTCGGAAGCGGGAAGTGGTACCCTCCTCCTCCATCACCTCCCGACAAGTGTCATTCTTGCCAACCCCGCCACTACCTTAGCACCATGAAGCCAAGCGGAGCGTTCCTGAACTATTCCCTCCCAAGTAAAGCGCAAACTGCTTTCCCTAAAGTCAATTTTTTTAATGAAAAAAACCATTGTTTGCTGGGACGAAGAAGAAAACCTTAAAAGTGTCTTTGGGAATGGCTTGTCCCAATCGGGTCAGGTGTGAGGGTGCGTGTAAGTGCGTGTAAGTCAACCTTCTGCTTTCGGCGATGGCTGTGGACCACTACTCCTTTCGCGCTGCCTTCCGACATCTCACCAATCCTCAACGACGATCACAGGGGTAAAAGTTTTGGTGTAAACTGCCCCCAAAAGCCAGTCAACTACCTATGTACCCCCCCCCCCCCCCCCACCAGGTAGTCGGGAGTTGAGGTTGGTCGGATATGTTGGGCTTAAAAGAAACCTGATGCGTTTCCTGAGCATCTAGAAACCACCGTGGTCTGCTATTATCTTCAGGGATAACTACCGACATAACGGATAGATGAGATTGCTCTGGGATTTGAACTTGCAGTTTTTAGTGTCCTGGAATTCTGAAGAGAAGAGTTGAGCTTCTAGCATGCGCTTGATCGACAGTGTCCTGGTATGGAGGTCATCGACGAAAACGGCACCCATCCCCGCCTCGCCTCACAACCCGAGCAACAGACCACCACACAACCAAAAAAGAAAAAGAAGAAAAAAAAAGGGCAAGTCCTTCATCGGTCAACCACCTCACAATACAAGGGCCATCCCAGTCCCCCACCCCCAAACAGCTCTCTTTCATTCTTCCCCCGAGGGCAGCGCGTCATCGCCACACCCAGGCGGCTCTGTGGATACATTACATGCACCTATAAAACCTGAACGGGACTTGCCGACCGACTCGACGCAGGCACCCGACCGGCAGGCATGAGCCCA